TCAAGTAAAATCTGTCTTGCAAGTATGTTTTTAAACATATTTTTTAAGGGTTTTTAAACCCATTGTACAATACATGTAGATGTAGTAATGAAAATTTTTTGTTGCAAAAAATTCTAATTTTTCAAATAAAATTGTATTGTTTATTATACTTATATAACAGCCAAATCGATTTGATTAAAATAGAAAACATATTGAAATAAATAAAAACATATTGATAACATTTATCAACAAATAAAATAAAATAATTTTTAAATTGATTAATAATACTCATTCAATCGTTCAAAATAATTTTGTCATCGAAAACCTAATTTAAAAAGCTTTCCTAATTTTTCTTTTTTTTTTAACTTTTGATAGTTCGATATATCACATAATTAGATTTATCACATAACAGTTTTTGGTGTTATTATATCTAGAAGAAAATCATCAACCATAACTTTGAATGAACGAAAAAGAAACAATTTAAGAAAAATTTGCAAGTGTACTATGCTACTTGCGATAAAATAAAAAAAAAAGCATATTGAAATTAGTATGAGGATGTAGAGTTCGAAAAAAATAGTCAGAAATTATAGCAGCAGCACTCAAGTCCATACTACAAAACGGAAAATTGATGCGTACGGTATTCAATAGCCAGCATCCAGTATAGACATATATGGATTTTGACACGGATTTACTCGCAATGTAAACATCGAGCTTAAACGCATCTATACTATACTATAGTTATAGGTATATGTGCACAATCATGACGTGTTTTGTGTACACAGAAGAAAAGGAGGGTAAGAGAGGAGACGATCGAGCGACCGGTCGATCGAGAATTGACCGGCAAAAAGTAGCGGCTCGCGACTTCTGCGAAATGTATCGAGAAAGGCTCAGAGCATCCGAAGAATAAAAAGAAGGAAATAGAGGTGAGTGCAGAGCAAAGAGCCGGTGAGTTGGAAAAAAGTAGGAGAGCAGAGTACACTGCACGAGAAAATCAGTTGTGTGGGAGGGCATGTGTGTGTGGTTTGCATATTTTGTGTTAAAGAGACGCGGAAAGAAAGGAAAATCTGCTATGCAAGAGAAAAATATCTTAATATTGTCATCAAGTTGAAGACTATGGTCAAATTTTTCATATTAATTTCTACTGTTGAAATTTTTGGACAATTACTACCTTACTCATTTTTGGGCAAATTTTATCGTGTTTTTTTTTTTTTTTTTTTTATTTAATGAATGAACTAACTGATAAAAATCTTGAACGGTATGAAGATAAAATTACTCTTTGGATCTTTTTCTTCATAGATAATTATCATTACTCTGCATTTTTTTGTTATCGAGAATATTTTGTCTGCTGTAAAAATTTAAAAATGAGATACGCATTATTATATTAAGATGTTAATCATATCTTTCAATCGATAAGTTTTTTGTAATATCCAATTAATATCGATAATACGTGTGTCTTGAGTTGTACTTGAATCCATTCAGAAACTTTACAAAGTAATTTTTAACAAATTAGTCTGATATAATAGTAACATCTTTTCAATAAAAATCGCTCAAGTATATATTCATTCTGATAAATCTTTAATATTTAATTTAATCTTTAACGTTTAATAAAAATGTGATTAACACGATATGTACTCAATATTAAATAAAAATGATACAGCTAGTCGTAGTTGACATACTAGCTTTTTTCTTGCCCCCGAGTGTCGAATCAAATCATTTTTTTAACTTGCATCCAACAACGAAATTAAGTAAATTGGATAAATTAGAAGTCATATCAAGTGAAATAGATACCGCAAAGTAGCGTCGTCCAATATTTAGACATGCTATCTATTGACTCATTTTCATTTCCTATTTTTGTTCAAAGCTCATTTCGTACCTGAAACGATTGTTAGACGGTATAGTACGGATTCGTGCATCGATAACGTGCAACTTTGCTATTGTGTTCACGTTGGTCAAGAGGCCAAGTAGTACAGGGGATATGGACGATGGGGTGAGCAGAATTAAAAAGGATCCGATTTCAAAATTGCAAGGACACAAAATAGGCAGGTGCGACATAGTAGGAGCTTCTTTCTTGTATTTTTTTTTTTTTTTTTTTTTTCTTTTTTTTTTTTTTTTTTTTTTTTTTNTTTTTTTTTTTTTTTTACTTCGTATACGTACAGGTAAATATATCATTTATGTTTTGTAAGGGAAGCTAATGTTTCAAAGTAGCTATCAACAATAAGTCATAAGAAAGAATTTTTATTCTGATTATTTATAAATAAGTTATTTTCTCATTTTGTACTCTAGACTGTGAAATGTGAATTAAAATTTTTTATAAGAATTTAGATTTTTTCCGTCAGCGAAATAAACAAATGATAAAAAGATCATTTGTTTTTGAATATTGCACACTTTACATGTATGAATTATATTTTTTGATAAATTGAAATCCATTATTTGCAATCAATACGCTAAATTTTATTCTTCACCAGAAATTATTTCAATAAAAATATATTTTTGTAAGCATGAATGCTCCATAGAATTATCTTACATAGTTTGGTAAATAATAATCCTTTGATACTGTGATAAACTTTTGCTGTTCGAAATTTGCCACATTACAAATTCCTTGAATTAACCAAAAATACAATTTTTTACACATAAATTTAATGAAAATTTCTCAACATCATGTATGTTAAGTCAAAATTTTTTGCTCTCGTGATAAACGTAATAGTCAGGCCTTTCAAAATCAAACTGTCCATTGTCATGTTAAATTTTTGTGGTTGTTTAATCATGTATCATAATTAACAATTTTTTAAATTGTCTTAATGCTTTAACTTGTTGAACCATTCGATTACAAGTACATACCGTTTATCAACGCAAGTTTTTATTACACGAATCGTTAATGTGCAAAAATACATGGATCTAATCAACTAAACAATTTTGATTATTTATGATAAAAATTCTCGTAATTTTTACACGTAAAATTGAGTTTTGTATAACCTTTGCTCTACGTTGAAATTAGTTTTCTTTCGCAAAAATAATTAACGAAAACACAAAGTTAACGTGTTTACCATTAATAAAAATTCTACTAAAGGTTACAAAAAACAAAAAACTAAAAAAAAATACAATAGAACCTAAGGAGCTATACAACAAGCCTCACGTCCGTAACATAAATTTTTTATCAGCTCCAAGAACACGAGCACATATTTATACAGTGAGAGCGTAAAAGTCCCCCGTACCACCGATAGCCATTATCTTTCATTTAAGAAATTGGCAAAAAAAAAATAATCACCCCCTTTCATCAAAGGCCTTCAATGATAAACAAGGCACTTCGAAACGACGCTTATCAATGATGTAATTAATATACACACGAACCGAATAATTTAATTTGAGAATAAAAAAACTCGTACAAAATCTAGATTTTTTTTTCTTTCTGCGTCAAAATCCATGTATTATACCTAATCATGAAAAGCATTTCACTTGATTATACACATACACACGTCTCGACGAAACGAGCGAAACGTAAAGTCATAAAAAACAATTGCCATTTGTTAGCTGAGCGCCCGACACAGCCATCGCGTTCGTCGACCGAATCAGTGCAACTTTTTAGCCCATCCCCAAACCCACGCATACCATTACTAACCCCTTAAAAAAAAAAAAAAAAAAAAAAAAAAAAAAAAAAAAAAAAAAAAAAANACCGCGCACAATAAAAAAAAAAATTAAAAAAAAAAAAAAGAAAAAAAAAGGAAAAACAATGAAAACTTACGCGGCTGGGCAAACGCAAAGACGCTCTCTGTCTTGGCAGCAAACTCGTCGAGCTCCTCGTGATACGTGACCCCAGGCTCGAGCGGCTGGTCCGCCTGCATCCCGTACATGTCCATCAGCTTGGAGATCGGCGGGATCCTCGGCAGCGCCCTGCCGGTCATGTTCGGCGCCTGCTTCAGCCCCAACTTGTTCAGTATCTGCTCCTTGATCGCCTCGAGGCTCATTGCCCGGATCTCCTCGTGCATCCTGCAGGCGTTGCAACTACTGCCCATCGACGAGACCCTCGTGGTCGTCCTCACCGCGGACTCGAACGCCCCGAGCAGCGTCAGCCCGACCAACAGGACCCTCGTGATCATATTTCCACCCCCAAGTTGTTTTTTTTTTTTTTTTTCCCTCGTCAAAGAGCAACACCAGAGCGCCACACGCGGTCCTGACCAACGAGCTCTACAGCCGCTCTGTCGGCGTAGCTGTCACTGCGCTACCTGCGCCGACGACAACTTCATATCCTCGGGGCCTCCGTATGTAAGCGCGCGCGGGGGAGAAGGGGCACCGTAGCTCGCCGTGCGCGAATTCTCGCTTCCCTCCGCCTCCCCCTGTTCTCTTTTCCTCCCTTCTTCGCCCAACTTCGCTCTTCGCTCGGGGTGACTCTGCGCGGCTCTTCCTTCCACACCGCCTATATACTCGCCTTCGCCGGTCACTTGTAAGGCGTCAAATTCTAAATACTTAACACTTGCTCGCCACTCGAGCCTCCCTCCCTCTCTCTCCCTCTTTTTCGCTTTTGTCTTTGGTTACACCACCTTCGCCTTTTCTCTCGGGAAGAAGAAAAATTTCTTCTTCTTCTTCTTCTTTTTGTCACCCCCCCCCCCCAAACTCCACTTTGGACTCGGAGATCGGTATACCTGCAGCGCACTGTGTGAGCACAAAAGACGACGGTATTGTCGTTGGGGTTTCTTTTTTTTTCTTCTTCTTCTTCTTCTTCTTTCTCGGCAATCACATCACTCCCGCGCCTACACGCTGCAAAAGTCCAACTGTTACGTGGACGAAGCGTCGCTCGATCCCGAAAAAAACGAGGGTCTGTCGAGGCAACGCGTTTTCTTTTTCCCCCCCGAGCGGGAATCACATGGTCCTTCGGGATGAGATCGGTTGGTGCGAGCCACGCGTGCACTGCTTATACGCGGCCCGGCGCACGACAAGTACAATAACTACGACTGCGAGGCGCCGATGATCCGAGGCGGACTCGAGCTGCCCGGTCTCGCGGAAATCATTTTACGAGCCGAGTGGCGCTACACGCGGCGCCCCGTCCCTCTCCCTACCTCCTAGGCGGTTTATGGGCGCGCGTGTACTAAACAGAGAGCGCTGATCGGCCGATTTTTCCCGCAAGCTTTCATCCCCGCGAGCTCAGGAATCGGCGCCGATCGGTATACGTAAGGGGAGCGCTCGGGGCGCGCTAGCCGTGTGAGAGCGAGGCGCACGAGGCGTCCTTTCCTTCGCTGGGGGTGTGCTCGGTCTGTCTCCCCCTCTCTCGTGCATCGCTGTCCTCCTCCTCCTCCCCCTCCCGGGGCGCGACTCACTGGCGGTGCGTCTGCGAATTGCGTGCGTGCAGCCCCTCGGGCTGGCATCTATATAAATATACGCGGCTAGCCGGAGATCGGGAGGCGGCGGCGGAGGAAGGAGACCCGAGGTACATGGGTGTGCGAAAAAAGAAAGCGTTGCCCGCGCACGTGCGCGATACCGGTAGTCCCTCTCTCTCTCTCTCTCTCGTGTGTGCGTGGGGGGCACAGCTCCGCTTTGGCACTACGGAGCTGCACGACACCGGTGCACCAAATAACGTACCGGGGATGAAACGCACACTAAAAACACACGCGAACTCGCCGATCGGTTATATATACTGTGATTTTTGGCTTCGCGCGTAAGGGCTACCGCTGTGGTACGAGCGGAAAGGATCGGGGGAGGGGAAAAAAAAAAGAAATTAATGTACTTATTTTCGGTCGAGTGCGATCGGCGATCGGTGTATACGGTGTAAATGTCGCGAGTGGTGCGTTCGCCGGCTTGTCAGCCACTGAGCCGGGAGGCATCACACACTCGCGCTTCCCCTTTCCCTTCGCAATCGGCACTTGCGAATGTATATTTATATAATTGCCCGTGTGTACGTACATGTACATAGTTACGCGCGCACATAGACAGAGAGTGAGAGTTGGTGTACTATCATCGTAATTATTGTTGTTATGATTATATCGTGCGGCCGGTCTCTTTCTCCTACTCTTTCACTCTCTTCTGTATCTTACGCATTCGCGTTCGTAAGGACGGCTTGGGGCTCTCTTCTCTCTCTCTCTCTCTCTCTTTTAGCAGCGATTACAGCGATGAAGAGAGGAGGGACCGATGGGTGTGTGTGTGTGTGTGTGTGTGTGTCTCTTTTTTCGCACTCTCTCTGCTGCCTTCGCTTTCTTTCTGCACACGCAGAGACGTATAGGACATATACGATGAGAGCTGCTCTCTCTCTCTCTCTTTCGTATTTGCTTTTTTGATTTCGCCGAGACTATGTGTGTGTGCTCGTGTTTGCGCACAGCTTGCGGACGATTGCTCTCGGCTTTTTCGCCATCGCCTTGGCTAATCGCTAGCGAAACCGTGCACATGAGCGCCAACTGTGTCGTGACGCTGTGTGCTAATCTTTTGGAACAGCTGACTATCGTCTCGTCGGAATCTCTTTTTTCTTTTCTTTTTCTCTTTTTTTACTTCCACTTCTCTTCCTCGGTCCCATCTACGATTTTTGAAAGCGTACAGCGATTATCCGGGACTTTGCCATTGACAAACCATTACCGATCTCTGCCGATTTTTCAAACTTTGCGTTAATGCTCGGGGTATTCTTTTTAATTACTTTAACCGTAGTGTCGACAGTTGTTTCGTGAGGTGAATGGGTAATGGTGAGATGATAAACGATCCGATGCGTGTTCCATGTACTCCTTTGTTCTCTTTTTTTAACCCGACTATTTTATTGAAACAAGAGTACATCAACATGTGGGATTATTCCGAGTATTTTGCAACATGTGTACAGTCGATTCTATAGGTATACATGCGAAATCAAGTTTAAGGAGTAACATTAGAGACAGAGCTCCACTAACGTGCATAAGGTGAATTAGGAACCGATTGGGAATTTGCTAACTAGAAGAGTTGTTTTATTCGTTAAATTTATTAGAAGCTCATGATGTAACAACTGAAGTATTCCAATAATGTGGAATAATTTAAAAGAGAGTTTTTGTGATTAAAAAAAAAAATCTGGATAACCGCACTGTAGGTATTGCATTTTTGAGGATAAAGCTTTGAAGCTTAACGAATATAGGAGGAGGGAAAGAGAGTACATTTAACAATGGAACGAAATCTTTCGATGGTAAGTTAATGGATGCGATTGCGAGAAAAGTTTGCAAATGCAAGTTCAAGGATCAGAAAGCGAGATTATGATTGCGAAGGGAAAAAAAATTGTAAAGTCAGATTTGATCGATTTCGCTCTAGTTGGAAAAAAAATCGGTGCGCGTGCTCGCTTTTTTCCTCTTGAAAGAAAGGTCGTTCACCTCGCGTTGTACGTGATTTCGCTTTTTTGCGCATTTCATTGTATTTTAACAAAATGCTTTATACGAGATGGGCTACGAATAGAGCTAGTTTTATTTCTAAATTGAATATCTCAAATACACTGTTTCCTAGTATTCAATGATAAAAAAAGATCACAAATTATTTTTTATCCCAAGGCGCAATTACCATAGTTGAACATCTCATATTTTTGAAAGACAATAAGCTTATTATTTAACCGTACAGTACTTATATGAAACAAAGTGAGACACTTGCCGATTTTCCAGTCTTTCTTTATCTTAGGCATTGGACTCGAGCTCTTAGTATAATTATAAACATTCAATAAAATTTGAATCCTCTTTTTCATAAAATATTACATACTTATGTACGATAATGAAACATTCATTGTCAACTTGTGCAAATAATACTTTTTTTATGTATAAAATGATATGTTGCACTGTACTTAATATCTTACCTTTTTTTTTTTGGTCAAGTAAAATCTGTCTTGCAAGTATGTTTTTAAACATATTTTTTAAGGGTTTTTAAACCCATTGTACACGAAAAAAATGGCACTTACAACTAATTATAATGGTGCGCACAATGGGTATTGTTAAATTTATAAAAAAAAGTAAACTTAAATTTAATTTTACGTGCTAATAACCTTGCTAATTCATAAATCGTGTTGGAAGATAAACTCCAACCCAACAACGCTGTAGCAGTAAATGGAAAAATAACCAATTCTGAATTATTACAATAATAGCTTACAAATAGGGTGGAAAAAAAGCACGATAATTACCACTTTGAAATATGTATACGTGCATATTAAGTGCCTTTTGCGGGCGTATAGCTTATAATATGCTTGTATGCATTTGAAACACAAGCAAATTTACAACGAAGCCTCAGAGCACGTATTAAAAACACACATTCAAGCCAAGTCAAGTTTAAGAGTTCCTTGCACCCATGGGCCATTCAGTCTAGTCGGCAACCTCTGAAGGAAGATCGGCAGCATCTTAAGTGTAACACACACACACACACACACACACACACACACACACACACACACACACACACACACACACTTGAACAAGGCCACCTTTGCGGATGAGGCCTATACTCCCCCACCTCCCGGTTGTCCTCTCGGTTCGTGTGTTTTTGCAGGTGGGCCCCCTCCCCTTGCGTATAATGAGAAAAACGATACAGGTATATATAACTTGGCCAATCTCACCCCCCCAAAAAACAAGGAGGGAGTCTCCCACATCGATTTTTTGGTGTTCCTTGTGAATTATAATTATGGGCTCCTGCGTCTTATGGTTGTTTGAGCTATTATTTTTAACTGGAAGGCCGGGACAGGAGGAGGAGGAAAAAAAAAAAAAAAAAAATGAAGCCATCGAACAATAACGTCAAGAGGGATGGAAAGCGGCGGAAGGGTAGAGAGAAAAAGAGGAAGATCCGCTCGAGTATAAATAATGTTGAGGAATGGCGCTTGGCGTGGCCGACAATGGGCACTCGGTGGTGGGTGGTCGAGCCTTTTAACGTAATTTTTGCCATCACGTGCATAAGTTGGCATCGACGAACAAGTGCGGGATACTTCGTGAGCAGTGGCTTTACTTTTCTGGGGTCCATTTTTTGGTGGTCGATCGAAGGAGTCTCCGAGGCCGCATCGCCTGAATTTGTGTTTTACGAGGCCTGTAGTGTGGCTGTCGACGCAGCCAAGAAGTGAGAAGGAGAAGAGGGGCTGTCAAAAAAAGAAGGCGTATGTGCAAAGATGAGTAAGGGTCGCGTTGCTCAGAACATA